ACTGGCACTGGTACGCACTCAAACCAGAAGACGAAATATCGCAGGTGAGCCGTGGCAAAGGAGCAGAAAGTAAAATGCATTTCAATAACGTGTTCGGATGATGACTGATATTAAATTAGCTTAAAAGGAAAATTTATGAAAGCTTGAATGGAAGCAGTAACCGTGTTATCATGGCCAAGGCGATGGATCCAGAGCTTATCCCAGGAATACTGGGCATGAGGCACCCTGAGTGGGGTGCCAGTCCATCACAGGGCACCATACACACACACATTTACACACTCATTTACACTTATCCATCTATGGGCATATTTATGGGAGGTGGAAAGAAACCAGAGAACCTGAGGAAACCAATGTGGACTCCGGAAGAACATGTTTCTGTGAATCAGTAATTTATTAACGTAGATCATCCAGTTTTAATGTACATTATTATTAATATTAATTAACTGGAGTTAACGTACTATCAGATCCTGCATATAACCCAATCTCATGGCAGAGCTGAGTGTTTTTACTCTAGGGGAGTTTAGATGCCTAGTAATGGTGTGGTATCATTTAGTAATGTTTATACACTATATGGCCAAAAGTTCACCTAACCATCCCACCCATATGTGCTTGTTGAACATCCCATTCCAGATTTAGTCCCCTTTTTCCTGTTATTATAACCTCTACTCTTCTGGGAAAACTTTCCACTAGATTTTGGAGCGTGGCTGTGGGGATTTGTGTCCATTCAGCTACAAGAGTATTAGTGAGGTCAGGCATTGATGTTAGATGAGGAGGTCTAGTGTGCAGTCGGCATTCCAGTTCATCCCACAAGTGTTCAGTGGGGTTGAGGTCAGGGCTTTGTGCAGGCTACTTGAGTTCTTCTACTCCAGCCTTGGCAAACCATGGACCTCTCTTTGTGCTTTGTTCCTCCCTTTGGCATGTTTGGGCCCCTACCGGAGCATTCGGGCCCTCACAACCAGACTGTGCAATAGTTTCTTCCCTCATGCCATCAGACTCCTCAATACCTAGAACTATACTGAAGGAAGGAACACACACACACACATACATATACACACATACAT